ACTGCTTTTTGGATAAGTTGGACAGGTCACAGAAAAGTTCAGCCTGCACAAATGTAGGCATAGCCCCCTCCCCCGATGTAGGATAGGCTTTCTTATAGCTCCAATAATAGTAAAATGGAAGCGAACTCATTCATCTTAGGTTGTGTTCATACTTCGCGACTCGAGCGATTTTCGAAATTCCTGATCGTCTGGCAAAGCGTACTCAGGTTTAACATCAGGAAGACCGAGTATTTGACGACTGAGCCAACCGAGACGGACTTCATGAAAATTGATGGCATTGAACTCATTCGTACAAGAAGCTTCAAGTCTCTTAGATGAGGAATTCGGGATGGCAGTAAGACATCAGAGGCCAGCTTGCGCGTGAGTGGAGCGTTGGCTAAATGGCGCCCCATGACTGATGTTCTCCGTGACAAGGCGATACCGATGGCACTGAGCTCACTCCGAACGAGAAGCATTTAGGCAGCGTCTCAAATCGAAGATCTATAGAATTGTGGTTGGACCAGTAGCGTTTATGGGGCGGAGTAGAGTACCGACCTGCTACTGAAGGAGCTGAAGCCCGCTTCAGTGTGATGGAGATGAAAATGTGACGATGGACGCCGAACTCACGCATTTGGATTAGATTTTAAACAATGACATACGCAAGAAGTTGGCGTGTTCCGACAGTTCATAGAGTGCTAGAATCTCGTCTGCGATGGTAAATCAACGTACTTCGCGCGAAGGCGGAACCGTCTGTAAGGCTGGTTTCCAGCTAGACTGTGCTCGGAAAACGCCCCAAAGGACGCCGCAAGCAACGCTGGCTCGATCTGCTGCGCCGATTTGGAGATAGTTGGCAACCACTCAATCCGGAAAAATGTCGTCACAAAATCAGAAGAGCGGACCCCCCACCCCACAGAGTGGGACAAACGCTGGGAAATAATAAGAGGAAGAACGACTGGATTGTTTGGGAAAGCGTTCCACAGAACAGGTCTAATTCGTGAAGACTGGTGCCAAATGACTGCCAGAACGGTTCTCCTGGAGGGAGGAATGAGACGGCTGGAGCTCAGAAGATAATCTTCTGCTGTTGTTGCAGCCTCAGGAGAGCGATTGGCAGGACGTTTTACCAGTGGATGGCAATCAATGCTCCGATTCTCTAGATCTTGGATGAGCAGCTCAACTGGAGCGAAACAGAGGGAGTGTTTTTCCCAGTTCACAGTGCTCACCCACATGTCGCGAATTTTATTCCGATGAAATTTTGCAGTCTGAACTTCTTCTTGCTCCAAATAGTTCGTGTCGTGATTCTTCCAAACGTCACCTTTTTTTCCCGGCCTTTGAGCATTGCTTGAAAGTACGGCACTTCGTAAGTGGCACGAACCGCGGAAGTGGACTGCTTCTTTGTCCACGTGTTCTTGGCCTCTTCCGACAGCGAGAAGATCAGTTAGCCACCAGATCTACAGCCACCAAACTAGTATGCAGTCGAGCCTTGTCCCGGAAATCGTGAGCCTAGACAGAAATGGTGACAAGTGCTTAACTCTTAATTGGATACGGCGGATTCATTCACAAGTTTGCTGCACTTTTTTTTGTTCCCCTAATACCCTTTGATCCAAGTTATTATAGATCAAGAAAAAGCTTGGAAAGTTGCCCTTATCCTTCTTTTACGTTGGCTGTACTTTCCTGTAGTGTCCAATTTGTTCAAAAAAAGCAAAAACGAAATCAGGAAGTATGTTGAAGAGGAAATTATTAGGTCATCTCATTCAAAAATGTGGTGCCAAATGGAGTATTGGCGGAAAACAGAAAATCTGCGGCCAACAGTCTCTTGGCAGCTATCAAGTTGGAAGCTATTACCTTCAGCTGCGTGCACAAACTTGGTCGACATGTCCGGAAAAGGAGAATTCGAGAAACGAAAAAAAAAGCACAGTGCAAAATGCAGCGTTGGATTCAAAATCGGACGTCATGCAAAGAGACTGGGCAGTTCATAGCGACCGCAAGTTGGTCCAGCAGTCGCACAGAACTCTCGAATTCTCAAAGCATAATTTGGAAGATTCGGTGCAGAAGTCCAAAGGAGGAAGAACAAAAAAAAGTTTTAGCCGAGAAGTGCCCGACCCCCTTATAATTCGTCCTGCTAAGGGAAAGAAAGCTGGGATGAAGTCAACTGTGCTCTGATCACAGAAAATGGACCACTGGATCCCTATCAAGGTTCGAGACCAACATTTGAGACCAGCATTCCTGCTGCGACTGCTGAATTACACCAGATAAATTAAGGATGGTCGAGAGGAAACCTTATTTTCTTGTAGAAGCGAAACGCAGATCCGATTCGATGACTGCAGCGGTGATGTTAACCGATCAGACGACATTCAAGCCTATGAGAACGCACTTCAGCCCTACATGTGAAACTTAGATGGTCTTGCACTCCGAGCCCAAAACTCACAAGCGTCTTGAATCTTGAATAATGGCGTATGAATACCGCCCGAATTCTGCGATAACGCCCAAACGACAGATCACCATGACAAATTAGACCTGCATTGGTCTGCGCTCCACGACAAAAACAGAACGAAACCAGAGTTCAACTGCCTTATTCGTTCGACATACAGCTCTGCGATTTCAACTTCTCTGTTCAGTTGGAGGTGCTCAACGGCAAACGCTACCGATTTCTCTACCGCCGAAAGTGGCATCAGCAGCATTCTAATCACACTTGTTGAAAAAAAAAACGAAATTGCTAAGGGTTCAAACGCTTTCTACGGACTGGATGAATCAAGCATATTTTTGAATGAGATGACCTGACATTTCTATTCCTCTATTCTGCTAAGGTTGCGAAAATGTTTCTAAGAAAAAGTCGTGAGTTCGAACCAATTTGAGAGAGCGTCAAAAATTTTCTGTGCTTCCATCCGAATTTTTCGAGAGAAAATTTGCTGCTGGAAGAACGTGGCGGCAGTTGAAAGGTTGAAATGGTGCGATGTCACGGCCAGTTCAGCAAGGCGTGCCAGAGATCTGATACATGCAGATTAGTCGAGGTTTCTTCTATATCAGTGCATCCGGGGTGATCTCCAATGGCATCATTAAACGATTTTTGTGCGATTATTGAGCATATTTTCGATGTAATTCAACTAGTGGAACGATCACAACTTTCTCTGTGTAGCACCAGTAAGCATTTTCCCCCAAAACTTTCGAGAAGGTGACAAAACCCATAAGATTTTCAAAAAACAAACGGTGAGCTCATTTCCTGCAATATTGTGACTTTGCAAGCAACATTCCTCCCAATTCTACTTTTGAAACCCAAGAGTTGCTAGAAATTGTGACCATAAGCTAAACCAGTGAATTACCTGCTTAGGTTTCGACATTCGTTTGCTTAAAACGTCATGATCACTCGCTATATCGGTACCACTTTGTTCAGTCTCTATGGGAGCAGTGCACAGCTTCTAAGAGTGACTGGCAGCCGTCCACTTCGGCCAGGGTAGCTAGTTGGCTAGAACATGCGATAAGGCCGACGGGTATTCCTACGAAATCGAAATGTGATCACCATGGCTGTTATTGAACCATTGACTGCAGTTTCGCGGCGCTCAACTCTGCCAGATATGGTGGAAGAAGCTATATAATGAGTGCACAATAGATGCAGACTGGAATTCTCATTGTCTCTTTTTCCTCTGCCAACTGAGAGATTGATATAGCTTGTGACGCTTTGTGAACACGCGAAATTTCGACAACACAATGAATGGCACGACCCGACAAGCTCAGAAATTTAGCTGCTGTTTTTCACAATACTGTATTGCATCTCTGAACCTTGCTGTGTGTTCCTTCCCAGAGCGATTACCCTACCAGCGCCGCTGTCATGAGTACCGTTTGCAGATGAGGCGTCCCTAGCTAAACTGGGAAACGTAGTAACTCAGGGAAGTTCCTTGCACTTAAAGGCGTAGCAACCTGTAGATCTCGAGGAGAACTCGACGGGTCGAGTCCATCAGTGGGAAACCGAAGAAAACGCGCGTGCGCGTACGTGGGGCCAGGGCGGGGGGCAAAAACTTAGGGTGGGTACATGATTTGGACTTGTGATTGTACTTGTAATTTTGTATGATAATAAATATTTATTAACAAATTTGTTGTAACACAACACAACGACCACAAAAAGATGAGATACAGAAGATAAGATACAACAGTCACAAAGACAGTTTCCAAAGTGTGAGAGTCTTGTCGTTAGGGAAAATCTTTGGTAAATACGGTCACCCTCCTCCTTGAATTTTTCCCTCTGCTACGGCTCCCTCCCCTTCTTCACAAAAATTCTGCCGTCTAGCGGGACTGGGGCGAGGAAAATAAACAAAGAAAGGAAAAAACCACGAAAAGCCATGCTGTATTAGAGGAATGAACTCTGATAAAGCTTGATACTGCACCTCTCTTGAGAGCGTATTTAAGAGAGGTGAGCGGTAGGGTTTAGTTTTGTGTGTGGTATACTCGCCAGATAAACTTTCTGTGCGTATCGTCTTTCGACACTCCCGGAGACAACCCAGAAGCCAGGGATCCAACAGTGGCGATCAGGACATTCAGCACTCAAGCAAGGACACCGGGATTCTCCACAGAACAAAAGAAGTCACAGGATCAGGAGATCTGAACCAAGAAAACGATCTCTGATCACAGCAGAAGCTTAGCGGTTCTACTATAGCGAAGAAGAATCAGGGACTGCCCATATAGTGAAACCTTTTCTATAATAGCACGGACGGTGGCAGCAGAATCTAGCTGCAGCTGCGCGATATATATTTATAATATCAGTAGGACCTAACCTCGACTTTCGGCAAGAACCGGACGAGGAACGAGCAGATAACTCTTTTCTATTGCTGTGTTAGAATTCGACTTTCCTTGCACAGTTGGTAACGGAAGGGTGGTCAGCATCGGATAACCACTAGCGTGCCAGTCAAGCACAAGTTATCGACCAGAAGTACACGCTCAGTCTCATCGTGAATGGGACCCATCAGCGACCTGGAACATGCTGACCACTATCTCAACTATGGTTGGAGAAATAATGGACGAACAGAAATGTTATGAACGAACAGAAGAATGTTATCGCCAAACTGCTAGATCGCATTCCAGAACGCGGACAGGGAGATTGCAATACGACGGAGCACATAGCACTCCCAAACTTGATGGCAGCGTTGAGCAACCGCATCGAAAAGTTCGTTGTTCGACCCGGATGCCGACATGATTTTCTCCAAATGGTTTTCAAGATACAAGGATGTGTTTAACGAAGACGCAAGCAGCTCTCTGAGGCAGCCAAAAGTCGGACTGGCTCTACGAAAAAATTTGGATAATTCTATCTTTCGAGAAGTACCAAAGGCACGTGCTGCCAAGAGATGTGACAGATAATGGGTTCACCGAGAAGGTGGTCTTACTCAAGCAGTTGTTTGATTTCAAATCGTCATTGTTTACCACGAGATATCAATGTCTTGAGCTAGAGAAGAGTCATTCAGAAGACTTCCTCACGTATACCGGTCGAGTGAATGGATTTTGCGAGAGAGTAAAGATTTACGAGCTAGGCTCAGACGCATCAAAGTGGCGTTGCTGTGGATTTTCGGACTGAAGGTCACAGGCAGGAGCGCAGAGATCTGCAGAGGCTGATCACAGATACTGAATAGAGTCTATAAAGCAGGCAAAACGGTCTCACTGCAACAGTTGCATCAGGAGTGCGAAATACTTCTTAAGCCTCAAGAGAGACAGTGAAGTTGTCGCCGGAACTATGAAACTAGTGGAAGCCACATCCGTACAGAGAGCGAAGAAATAGAAGTCGTTGGAACTGAGACACGACACACAGACAATCGCGCTAGAGGGAGCCAACCGCGAAAGCTTGGTTCATGCAAGAGTGCAGAAGGTCGGTCACAAGGAAAAAGTTTTTTGCAGCTTTACGAAAAAATGAAAGACTGCTCGCACAGACGGCGAGAAAACTCCGCTACTGAAAGAGAAGTTTCGTCGAGGAACAGAAACAACAGAGGCCCGAGAAAACAAGTACGAATCGTCATGGTTGCAAATGCAGCAGTTCAAGCAAACTCGTCCCGTGTATATACATCGATGCTGTAGTGAACAACTACTGGCACAAATTTCTGTGCTTCGATATGGGATCAGACAGTCACCGTTTACTGAACGAAAGATTCTGGGAAGATGTGCTGCCCAGCATTGGAGAAGACCAATGCAGATGTGAAAAACGCAAGTGGAAATACTATGAAGATATATGGAAAGCTTAAATGCAAGAATATCATGAAAGGTGTCAACACTGAAGGAGACGCCTATGTGACGCCGCATAGCTCACTCTTGGGTCTCGAATGGATTCGAGCAAATGAGAATTTGATGTACCACATAGAAATGATGGCTGAAGTGAAGGCCAACTGCAACCCCAGACGTAAAGAAGAGTTGAAGAAAACGTTGAAGAGAGGAATCAGAAAACTTAAAGGGGAAGAGAAACTGTCAGAGGAGTAATAGTTCCAAGTTATAACGGCAAGCATACCGAACCACCCCACCCAGATGTCTTGAGGACAGAACTAAATCATCGACATGGTTGTACGCCGAAGAAAATCGAAGGAAAATAAAGGAACAATACGATAGGAGGAACGGTGCCATTTTGATGGATTCAAAAAGGGAGACGACGTATATGTTCAGGTGTGGAAAGCCCCACACTTCTCATGGAAGCAAGGAGTTGTCGCAGAACGACTTGGGAAAGTTAACTATGAGGTCGTCGTGGAAGGAAGTCCGATGCTGAAACACGCAAATCAATTACGACATAGCAATACAGGGACAAGCTGGAGTGGTGAAGACAACTCCTTGAAAACCCTGCTCGACTAGAATTGGACGAAAATCGGCTAAGAAGCAACGACGATACTGCTAGTGACTTGGACGTCAACACCGCTCTACCGTGCTCTCCAGAACTATCAATGCGACGATCGACTAGAATACGAAGACCTGTGAAACGATATGGCATTGATGTGTAGATTCAAATTATGAATGTTTTGTTTCCCTTGTGAGTAACTTTCTACTGGGGGAGGTGTTGTATTAGAGGAATGACTCTGATATAGCTTGATACTGTACACCTCTCTGCGAGAGCGTATTTAAAGAAGAGGTGAGGCGGTGGGGGTCACTGAGTTTTGTGGTGTGGTCAGATACTAGCCAGATAAACTTTCTGGAGGAGCGTATCATCTTATCGACACTCCCGGAGACGACCCAGAAACCAGGGATCCAACAACCGCGGAACATTGCAAATTTCTATCAAAGGCGGATACACCCTCAACCCTCCCCCTCACCGGAATTCCCCTCATGCCGTGGAAGAGGAAAGACCAACTATCTGAAAATTTCTGATCAAGCAAATAACGGACTCTCCTCTCTCACACGCGACAAAAGATACCACCGCTACTGGGTATTTTGTCCCAACGTGGGACGCGCCCTGATTACGACTAGGGGCAACCTTTGCCATTACGACGGACGAGAACTCTTGCGACACTCTGAACAAATAAGGAAAACAAGACACATTTCGAATGTTTCGGGCACTGAAGATCCCTAACTGTTCCAGTAGACTGGTGAACCATGATGCTTTCACTGTTTGAATGTCCTTAAAGTACAGAAGCACCCTGCCGAGGTAACATTTGCTGGGGTACAGATGGGTGAGATGGCGCTGTCTGTACACCCCCCACTGCTTGGAAATGACCAATGCAGTGAGACCCTTTCCACCATCTTCCATCCTCCCCCCCCCAAACTGGTTTAAATGCTGTTCTGGCTTTCCCAAGAAAGGGAAGAAGCAGACACCGTGGGAACAGGGTGGCGGGGTTCATCACTAATCAACTACCAAAGACTTTAGCGACTGTTAAAGTGTGTCCACTTTGGGGCATGCACTTAGGCCACACAGTGATTATGGCTCTAAACGCGCTTAGGGTCTTTCCTCAGCAGGGTACGTCCTGCCTTGGGAAAATACTTGGATTTTTCAGAAATTTCCGAAAATTTCCAGCCAGTGAAGCGAGAAAAACAGTGCTTCACACTTGGTGAGACCACCATAAACACTACTTCCTTAGACTATGGAACCGGCCAAAGTTTCATGGCAAAACCATCGCAAAATAAAATTTCAAGTTGGACCGGCTGCCATCGCCTAAGGT